GGTGGGATTTCAACCAATATCCTCAGATCATTAATAAAAGCAGAATACCGTGAATGCTGGAAGTCTGAATCCTCATTACATCAGCCTGGATTTCTGGATTATTAGTCCAGTGACATTATCACTGCCCACTGCACCCTTGAAATTATGACTTCAGCTGTCAAGGTGCCATCTTTTGGAATTCCACTCCCAAACTCCTCTGCCTTTCCTTCCCAACTTTAAATGTACCTCTTTGAAAATATTTTACTACCTGTTCTAATACTGAAAACTTAGCAATGCGCTTTCCTTGGGTAGACTAAAAATATACTCATCTGGAAGCAGACGCGTTTGCACTGTTAATCCTAACTGGGAGAGTTAAAATAACCCAATGCCACTGGCCCTTCGTTGTTCTTACAGACTGTACCTTTGAACTACATGCAGATTTCTCCTCAACCTCTACGATGGCCGGCAATGCACTAAGAATTCTACCAGATACTTTTCCTCTTCTTACCTTATCTATAGGGATGCTACCTTAATGTAACACCTACATTCTACTACCATCATGGAACCCTGCCCTAATACTGCAGCTCACTTTGCTATAATCAGAAATGTTAAGAAGGATAAAAGTTTTGTCAGTTGTATTCTCTTTTCAAAACCTAGACCTGTTACACTCTTCCACAATTATCCGTGCTTCACACTTTCCGATTGCGTGTTGGTTTTTTTTTGACATTGCTTGTTTACAACTCAATTCGGACTCTCTTTTAAAGAACTGGTCTCTTATCTCCTAGTTTCTTTATTTATATTTTTACATCTGCTTATCTGTTACTGCCTCAAAGCCTCCACTGGCCTCTCTCCTCTGGTCATAGTTGCTCATTGTTTATTTTCTCCAAGCCTTCTATTCCCATTCCAAATGTCCCATTAATTCTAGTCTCAATATCAAGTTTCTTGCCTAAAGTTTGTACACCACTTATTTATTAGATTAAATCCTCTCCACTGCCCTTCTTACCCTATCAGGTTTTGGTAACAGTTCAGTTACAGTGAAATTTAAGCTATCCATGTTTCAGAACTGACCCCCTTTCTTTCTGCATTTCATCTTGTATTCAAGAATTATATTTTGTTTAATCATCAAGGAAAATCTTCCCTGCATAAACCTCCCTGGTCTCATCTTCACGTATTACACTAACCTCATAGTTTTCCACTTCACCATCTTCAACATCCAATTCCAAACTAAAAGCTGGTCCCACAGCAGGGGGTACTGGAAGCATTGATCTGCACAGAAAAATACCACGCATTTGTTTAAAAGGATGATAATGAAGGTCACCTTATAAGTGCACGCAGATTACAAAACCAAACAAAAATTGAAGGTTTTATTTTAATACAATTATAACATTCAATTTTAGAATTTGGCCACCAAGAATAATCTATTAGCTGAGTGCATGAAGCGCAGAAGTTTTCATTGGACATATATAGATTACATTCAGGCCAGATCAAAAGAATAATAAGCAGAAAATTACAAGTTGGAAATGGAGGAAGGAAAGGGAGGGAGGGAGGGAGGGAGAGGTGGAAGGAAGGCTGGAAGATCTGCAGCCAGCCAGCAAAGTGTAGACAATTCTGCCAATAGCCATACCACTATGTAGGCTGGAAAAGTTGATGGATGGTTGGTCTGCCCTTCAGTGGGAAGAAGTTTCACCCTCTGGAGCGTACTGCCAATTACATTGGTTGCCGCTCCAACAGCCCTGGCAGTCCCAGGATGAATGTGCCATTAGTTTCTGGGATACAGCTAAGTAATGGGAGTTGGGCAGGTAGGATTTGACAACCTTAGCAAGGAGTGGAGGGGTGGATTTTAAATTTAGTGTAGGAAAGCAGGAAGTAAGGAGCGAGGTACCCCTGATGTGTAAACGACAATCTTCCGAAGATAAGTAACATCCTCCTACATAAACAAGTTTCTCGAAGTGCAAGAAAAAAACAGCATGGGCTTCCAACCTGCCTGACAATACCAACTGTATTATGCCAAGGTAATATTTGGGTCAAATAAGCTTTTAACAAGTTCAATTGATCTCAAACCACACATGGTATGGTAGGCTAGAGTATTGGACCCGTGACCCAGATGGCTAGGGGGTTAGATCTTCGGATTATTTGTGCTTTGTCAGACTGATGGGTGAGAAAGAAGTTCAGGAGTTTAAACTATGCAACGTCAGGAAAAGACTGGATATTAGGTGTTTTGCTTCCCCCCAGTCATAAATCTCTAAAATGCAGTGTATGCTGAATCTTTGCATATCTTACTAAGGGAAGCTGAACTGGTTCTTTACAAGGTAGAGATTGCATCACATAAGAGGCATGTGATTGTTTACATAACATGTTAATGCCAACAAACCTTGGAATTTTTAGAATACTATCATTGTGGTTCGAAACCTGACCCATGTGTAGCTCTACTCCAGTCTACTGGGTTAACTCTCAATACGTACCAAGGCAGTCTAGCAAGTGACTCATCTATCCAGACAGTGCCATCATTCACCATCATCACTTTCTCAAGACAACTGAGGCTGGGCAACAAATTTGGCCTTGCCTACAAAGGCAGCATAGTGGCATAGTTGTTAGCACTGCTGCCTCACAGCACCAGGGACCCAGGTTTGACTTCAGCCTTGACTGTGTGGAGTTTGCAAGTTCTTTGTGCGTCTGTGTGGATTTCCATCAGGTGCTCTGACTTCTTCCCACAGTCCTAAGATGTGCAGGTTTGGTGGATTGGAGGGTTAAGGAGATAGGGTGGGACACTTTTCAGAGGGTTCATTAGCTCCAGAGTTTTAAAATCTCTCAAGACCTTAAGCTCTGGAAATCCCTCCATAAACCTCTCCACTTCTTTTACATTTTGTTTCTCCTTTAATACCATCCTTACACACTTTCCTAGCATAAGCCTTCAGTCATAGCCCTTTATCTCTTTATGTGGCAGTGTGTTAAAACTTTGGCCAATATGAAGCAACTGCAGATATTTTATTGTGTGAAGGGTTGTATAATGAGACTTTGTTGTTGTTCTGTGGAAATGGCGCTGATCGAGGTGGAGATTCTCTATAGCCCTAATGATTTATTTACTTTTTGTTGAGATCACTTAGGGTGCATGCACCTTAAAAATCTTTAAAAAACTGGTCTTGCTGGCCCACTCTGTAGCCTGAGGCATAACAATAGAATAGATCACTTTCTAGGAATTCAAGTCACAGAATGGTGAACTTAGAAATCAGACAGGGAAGTGAACACGTGACAGAAAAAATATGCCGATGCTTGTCACAACTATGCAAGGGAGTACTGTTTATACCATTCCCTTCAGCTTCCTTTAGTAAAACACATTCATTACGTTATTTTAGATGTTCAAAAGAAAGTTAATCCAAAAAAAATTGGATCCTGACACGAAGGAAGAGATTGTAATCAGAGTGACAAAAGCTTTTTCTGATGTGAGTTTAAAGGAGAGCCTTAGAGCAGGAAGTGGAAGAATATAGAGAAGGAATTCCATTTAAAAGAAAGGAATTCCAGATATATAAAATGCATAAAGATGTTGCAATGACACAAATTTTAGAGGGATGCTTGATAACCAAACATAGAAATTACATATTAGTAAAACAGAGTTAAGCCTCAGTGAGATATTTACTGAAGTAAAAGGGCATAACTGAAATACAACTGCAATACAATATTATATCATTCCAAAATGAATGTTATTGCAACATATCTGTTTAACGTCTAACTATTGTTGCATTTCCTTGGTAAATGATTTAGGATAATCTTGGTTAGAATTTAGGTAAATTATTCTGATCCTCATTTGTTTTTAAAAATTAGGTACCCTCAAAAATCTTAACTGAATTTTATTACCACTGTTCACTTTGATCGCCTTCACAAACACCTAATTATGGACTAGAAACTTTGAAGAACCAGAGTCAAAAACAAAGTTTTAAAAAAAATTCAAAAATATTAAAATATTTGAGCAATATAGATGTCCAAAATTTTGAGGTGCCTTCCCAATTCAGAATAAGGCTTAATGTTATTAATAAAACTCAGCCCCAAAGGTTTTCCTCCTGTACAGTTTTCAGACTTACGCGGTTACCTTTTATTCTGCATTGTTATTGCTTATCAAGAAAGGGTGCAATTACTCCAAGAGTACATAAGATTGATCTTGTGCAACGTATGATTGTTGTGAGGTAATTGCCCAACTGAAAAGAAAGCTTCTCAGGTCCCTGATTGATAGGTGCCCAATGACATGCCAAGGAATACAGATCAAAACCCTCAGTTTGACTCCAACGTGTACAGCTTTGGATAATTTCAGACTGAAGATGGTGTGTTGAATCATGGTTTTTTGCATTGGCTTGGGAAATGCGGAAAAAAGATGTCAGTTAGGATTTTGAACTCTTAAAAGAAGGCATGCAGATTTTGAGTGAAACATTGTAGTAGGAATGAGCTATTTTTAAATAATTAATAATCTGAACTTGATTAAGTAAGGAATTAAGTAATATTGTTTAATTGTGGTTAGTTGTTAAGCAGTTGCTATAGGTAAGAAGTCATATGGCCAGGAAAGTGCATTAGTTTATGGTTTTATTGCTTTTTAATCGCTCAGGTCAATGTAAACTTAGGCTGACAAATGTGAGAATGTTTAGTGGTCATAGATCCTTACCGAAAGATACAGCTGTGTCTTAAAATGGTTCAATTTTGTCATTTATAGTCTGTAATAAGCTTTTCTGCCTTATGCTTATTTTGAGCTATCATTTGCTTTAGGTATCAATTATCTGGGGACACACATGGTTCTTGTAGCTCAAGGATATTGATAGATGTTTCAGAATTCTTCAATGCATCTTTGGGGATCACAGTTAATCATTGAGAAGTGACACTACATACTCTGAGCAGATGCATTAATTGTTCATCGGTGCCATTTTACCTTGATAAGGATCTATGGAATTATAAGCTAAAGGGGACAATCTTATACAATGAAAGGCATATTAAAGAATGCATGAGGAGACAGTAAGAAGTGAGATGACTTTTAAGAAATCAAATTGGGAAATGGGTAGATATTGTTTTGTCAATCCAAGACTGACCATTAATTTATATAAGAGTTCATGATGAATGATAATGCACAGTGGGTAGTGGCTCGGAAATATCTCCAGCATCTGCAATTCTTTGTCTTATTTCATTATCCTGGGTTTTAGTGGGTTAGTATATAGAAGGATGAGAGAAAGACACCTTCAGTCAAAAGAACATAAGAGACGGCGTCCCAGTCAGCAGGAAATTGAGCAAATATTTTATTGTGAATCAACTAATTCCAATGCAGTTTCAATTCTTTTGAATTTGTTTTAATAAGCTTACCAAATTCTGTAAAACTTGTGAAAACATATCGGCACTTTGAATGAGTCATGTAATTAATCAAGACCAGTAAATATTAGATTGAAGTTTCCGACAGCCAACCTACTCTGCATGTGGCTTCCGTCTTGCAAATTGAGATTAATTTCAATGTAAGGTTTAGAATTAGGATACAAATCTATGCTACTATACCTTTGTATGATATTGTATAAGAATAACTTATTTATTGGTGCCAGCAATGGCACAGTGATTTTACCCTTGACTGTGTTGGAACACAAAATATAGGCTGGAAATCTAATGCAGCACTGAACGAGGAGCAAATGTGTTAACTTTTAGTGAAAGGTTAAACAGAGGCACTGTCTGCCTTTTCAGATGGACATAAATTATTTCATAGCACCAGTTCAAAGAAGATGTGGGACATTTATTGTACATTTTGATGGTTACAATTCAAGTCAAAAGGTAATTGGTTCTACTCATCTAATTTGAAAATCAGATCAGAAATCTGCAGCAGATTTCTGTTTAATTAAAAAAAGGCAAGTCAGAACAGAACTCCAGTACGCAAACAGAGTGGAAAGCTGCTTACTCAGGGTAACAGGAACGTGTCCCCAATTCAGGTCCCTATCAAGTCAAATGAATGAGGAAATTGAATAGGAAAGGTCACAAAGATGACTACTAACCGCAGAGAAAAGTGCTGAAAATACTGGCTTGAGAAAACTACTTAAACCTAATTTCTAATTAAAATCTTGGTCTAAAGAAGGATTTGCTAATGTTATATCAAATCTGTCTGAAAAGCATTAAAATACATACCTAGAGCTAACAGGAACAATTGGGGGCCAAGAGGATTTTCATTTACCGCTTAGTGAAGGTGGAGGGTGGGGGCGGAGAGGTTGATGGCCTTATAACAGAGTAGTAGTGTCTCTGCCTCTGAGTCAGGAGCTCCAGGTTCAAATCCCACTCCAGGATAGATGGCTAACGAAGGTGTTTTCAAAATGTGGTCTGTATCAACTTGCAATACCTTTCAACTTAGGCTAGTGGCAGACAGTAAGAGTAGAAGAGATTCCTGGTGGATTCCATGTAATGCAAAGAAGCTAGAGGCTCTGACATCACTTCCCATTACTTCAAACTACAACATGCACGTAAAAGCACATACTGCCAAAGAACTTGGACTGGTGGGATGGGGTGGGGTATGGTTGAGAGCACTATGGATGAGACAGGGTTTGGTCCTCTGGCTTGGATGGATTCAGGACTTGCTTCTCTGCTCTACCCATGGTGAAGGTCACAGCAATATGGATCTGACCTGCCTTTGGGCATAAAACCCAAGAAGTACTCATGAATACTGCAGAGAATTTCCCACGTATGTTTTGCAACCATTGTAAATTGCAACAAAGGCTCACAAACATTTACCTGGAGTTGAATACCTAGTACCTCACTCACTAAGTGACTTACTGTGCAGAGAAATCAATTTTGTAAAATTGATCCCAATTGTAGACTCCAAATACATGAATTGAGCACAAAATTACAATTGTTGACAATAGCCAGAAACATTTAGCAGACAGTGATTTGTTTGGATTTCTTGATCTCCTCTCTTACTGAATAATAGACACTAAATTTTATGATATACAAGCAAATGCTAAAAAACCTATGATATTACAACTTGAAATGCATTGGAATTGGACTGTACCAGAACCATATTAAAATACTCTGTTCAATCTTTTAAAAATCTTTCAATTTTTAAAAGCTTTTTTGAATTTACTTCATTCCTTCCTCTCTGGAACAGAGAGTTTGTACATTGGTTGAGCCACTGAATATAGCAAATTTTCAAATATTATACATTAAATGCTTAAAATGTCACTGTACACTAATTAATTACATGCCACTTTGAAAGTAATAAATTCACTTACAGGAAATATGGCAAAAAGCTAGGATGATAAGGTGGAGGTGGTAAGGGTTGCTGCGAACGATATCTGCGTCCTGTCAGTCTTCGAGGCATGAAATGAGGATATGGCTGTTTGACAGAAAGTAGCAAGGCAACAAGACACATAAGCAGGATTTAAGATATTGTGTCATTGCAAATAACAAAACCCATAAACGCATTCAACTATTTAATGAATAAAGGAGCTTTACAGAAAGGTATCAGTGACAATATGCACTTGCTGGCAGATAATAACAAAAAGTTTACAAAACAGACAGATTTACATACCACATTTATTCATAATGTAAATAGCTAGTAATTGCATGCAGGTAAGAAGGATTGCCTGTAGATACAACTATTTGTGAAGTAAAAATGTGACAGAACAAAATGCCCACCAAGAAAGTGACAGCATTACCTTTTCATGTATAGATTTTATTTTAGTGAGCTGCTTCAAAATTAAGCATCATTACTTATTTACTGCAAAATAAACAATTACTGAATGGTGTGTAATTTGCATTGTTAAAATAAGTGATTACATAACATTGCAAAATCCCCGAGGAAAAGGCTCGTGTTCAGACAGTAAACCTGAGTTGTACAAGTGGTACATTAAATTTAGAACGATTTAACAGAACATAAGAACATACAATAATAGGTGCAGGAGTCAATCATTTGGCCCCTCAAGTCTCCTGTGCCATTCAGTAAGGGGCATGGCTGATCTCTTAGTGGTCTTAACTTACTTCCCTGCCTATGCCCCTATAACCTGCGATTTCCTTTTCAATCAAAAATCTGTACACTTTGCCTTAAATACATTGAATACAATAATAGGTGGGAGAGCACATTGTGAGGAGTACATAAGGAATCTTGAGTGACTAAGCAAGAACTTTGGAGTTTGATGTAGGAAACTGAGAAATAAAGCACTTTGGGAGGAAGAATCAAAAGGCAAACTATTATTTTAGTGGAGGGAGACCCCAAAAAGTGTGCAGCTCACAGGTATCTGTGTGTTTTTGTGTATGAAACACAAAAGGTTAGCATGCAGGTGCAGCAAGTGATTAAGGCAGCAGCTGGAATTTTGCGATTTATTGCTAGGGACTTGGAGATTAAAAAATAGTGATGTCTTATTACAACCGTACAGGGTGTTGCTGAGGCCCCACCTGGTGTATTATGTACAGCCTTGTTCCCCATGTTTAAAAAACGGTATACTGGCATTGGAGGCAATTCAAAAAGTGATTCACGCGGCTGATTCCTGGGATAATGGGACTGACTTATCAAGGACCGGTTTGGCCTTTATTCATTAGAATGTAGAAATATACAAGATTCTGAAGGGGTTGACAGGGTCGGTGCTAAGAAGACAAGTATACTCATGGGGGATATCTCAAACTAGGGGACATAGTTACAGAATGAGGGGACATTTTAGTTAAAATTGAGAAGCATACAAATTTCTTGTGAAGAAATGTCTTGAATTCTGATCTGCCCAAAGCAGATCAGCCATTATCTTGCAGAATGGTAGGACAGGTTTAACAGGCTAAATGTCCTATTCTGGCTCCTATTTCTTGCATTCTTATTAGCGATGGAGAATGGGTTGGTCGGCAATACCCACATCGCACGAATGCATTTTAAAAAAGCTTGAGAAGTTACTCCAAATATTGATTTGGACGATAAGCTGCTGTTAATAGACTGAACTGATTTTAAAAATTTGGAAATGATAAATCATGAAGTAAATATTTGCACATATTCCACATTTCCTACTTTTAAGTTTTTGGCTTCTCTATTTCAAATTGCCTTCATGGGCAAATTTTGGCTCCCTGAAACTGCAAGAGCATCTTCATTGACCCAGTGATTTTGTATACAAGAGAGGGTCAACTTTCACACCTGTGGCAGCTCACTTTGTTTTATTTGAATGTAATTTGGGTTTTGAAAATCTTCAATATTTTGCACAGGTTTCATCAAACTAGGTGAATTTAAGTACACCTGATGGAAACTCCTAACCCTTATTTCTAGTTTATTGCATTAAAAAGTGTATTTTTCTTGAATCTTCCAAAATGAAATTATGGATGTGCTTTAAAATCCAAGTACTTAATTTGTTTCCAGGTTCTCACATCCCTTCTTTGATTCAGTTATTTGTAAAATCATGCAAGTCTTTTCCCTTGTGTTTTGCACTTCAGCATCAAAATGTTTTACAAATGTTCCTTCCATTCCCGATTCCTAGACTTCCATTTCCAATCCAAAGATGTGCAGGTTAAGTGGATTGGTCATGCTAAAAATTGCTTAATAGTGTCCAGAGATGTGCAGGCTAGCTGGATTAGCTATGGTAAATGCAGGGTTCAGATGGTCAGTGCAGAGTCGATGGGCTGAATGGCCTCTATTTGCTCTGTAGGGATTCAATGATGCAATCATCCATTTTTCTAAAGACAGCATTATCTCCTTTACTTTAATTTAATGCCTTTAATTATATAAAATGCTATGAAAATGAAATATATTTGATTTGAATGAATTTGCTTGTGTTACTTGAAAACATGTACATTGTAAACTCTGTCAGTTATAAAATCTGGCTTTCTGCAACAGTCTCTAAAATCTACAGCTCCATGATTTTTGCTTACACGGAATTTGTCACGGAACCCACAATGCATCAGCACTTTTCAAGGCATCAAGCCTTTTCAAGAATTTTCTTTTGTGATACTTGCAGATACAGATTTCAGATACTGGAAAATAATTATTTAATTTGATTTGTTAGTGATGCTTGCCTGTTATCAACTGCAATTCTCCTGTCTGTTCAGTGAATGAAACAGATATCTGATTACTTCACACTGAAGTAAAATTTATTTGAATCAATCACACTCATGAATTTAACATATACTGGTTATTTGAGCCTATCAAATTGTGCCCTTCCATGAGCGTATATTTTATGGCATGATGTCTTAGTTACACCTCAGATGGGCTAGAAGAATGATTTTCAACCTCACATTGATATCATATCTTAATTAACTAGCTATCAATTTTTAAAGAAACAACTCTTACAAACATTAGGGGATCCTCAGTCATAACTAAAACTAAATGGAGATCACCATTTTTCATAAAAATCTAAGGATGAACTATATTATTTTTGCCATTTAGATATGCATGAATAAAGTATAGTCACATGAACACATTATAAATACAAACAAGAAATGCTGCAAAACACTAATCATATTCAGCAGCAGCTGGGAGAGAGAATGGTAGGGCTAGCAGTACAGGTCATTAACTTTTCTTCAGGGCCAGTTTCCAGCAATTTCTGTTGTACAATACAATCATTTAAAATAATAAGGTTTTGGTTGGCTTAGCAAAGCAAGTTTAAATCCATTTTTGAATATAGACATACACGTACTCACTTAATATCACTGGACTCATGTCACATTAAACTCATGTTATCAAACCCAAATATATTTTAAAAATTTTAACGTTTTATTTTGGATAAAACTTCTAGTTATAACATTTCGAGCAACAAGCTAATGTTCATTTTTGACATCTAAAATAGTAAAATCATTTAAGACTGTACTTAGCATAATGCATATTCACTTTAACCACAATCCAGAGCACAAAAGCTTTTTAAAATTATCTTAGTTTAGAGAGTTTTAGTGCATTATGTGCAAACACCATAACTTATCTTGGAAAATCATTCAAAACCATCTATAAATCCAATGAACGCTTTGCCCAATCCATTCAAATGTCACAAATATGGTAAACTGCAGCTAATAGAATCAAAAATATTGTAGCACCTGTATTTGAAGAGAGATACAACAACAGAACACCTTAGAACACAATGTAAAACATTTAGTGCTTTTCCCATGCTGAAACAACAGCAGTTAACCCTGCAATAATGCTCAAACTCCCAATGGTAGATGAAGCAAAGAAGCAGTTCAGTACTCACTACTCCAAAGGGCAGTTCTTGGTGCAGAGGGTCATGTGGCAGGAACTGGAGTGGCGCAGAAGGAGGAAGGGTAGGCGGGTGTGGTGATGGAGGATAAGTAAAACCACCAACAGGAAGATGTTCTCCCAGTAACTCCACCTCATTCTCTATCCTTTGTAAAGGCTGACAGAAGATTTGGAGAACTTGAGTAATGTTTCTATACTCATCTGTTAGTATGACATTCTGCCTGTTGTATTGCAAATGTTCTCAGGACTGTAAAATTTTTCTAATATTTCAAACCAAATAGGCAATTTAAAAAAAAAATCAGGTATTGATCATTCAAAGGCAGCTTACATAATTATACATGGGAATGAGAAACAGTGAATATGATATCTTCTACAAGATGTAGCACTTCATTCATACTTATACAGGCATCGATGAGGGAATAATATATGCTGAAAGGCTGCATACACAACATCGTGAATACATACAACTTTAGATCATTTCATGGAATTAACTGACACTTGCAATGAAAAGACTGACCTCAAAATGATACTCGAAACTGATCTCTTTAATTTAGTACTATTGGACGCTAATTCTTTTAAGTAGTGAGCGTTTTCTAAAATTAAGTATTGTTCACTCTTTCAAAAACCTGCACAACACCATAAATACTCAAATATTACTTACCGACCGTGACTGTTGTGTTTGGAATGGAACAAACTGGCCCGGGGGTGGCACGTGAGGATGATGGTGGGGCGACAGATGTTGAGGGTGCAATATAAAGGGATCGCTTGAGATAAGAGGAGGAAATGCAGCATATGAGACTGGCAAATGTTGTACAGAACATGCTTGGAGCATCTGGAGGGGGAGAAAAAAGATAAATGTAACATTTCAAATCACCACTGTATTTGAAAAGATGTTATAGTGTAGGGATTATAGAAATTAATGACCATTCCATGTTTCATTCTTTCTACTCAACACTTCAGTTGAACACATCATTCTTGTGACAGAGAGGAGGAAAAAAATTAATCTCAAAGATTACTGGTGGAAAACGTACAAAATACAAGAGGGTTAGAGAAGTACAAAATGGAGTTAAAATATACAACAGTTATGTTTAGGAATTCTACCAGGCTAATTTTGCACAGCTCAAATCGTATAGTGGTAGGCAATGCCTGATCATGTAGAGAACTAGGCCAACACATCTGTGAAGTCCAGAACCCATCATCTCAACATTCTGGCCTAAAATTATTGCCTGAAGAAAAAGATGAAGGCCCATTTGTATGACTTGGAGAAACTCTAAATTTAATTTAGAAATTCCAGCTTTGTTTTTACATTTTTTCTGATTTTAAGTTGGTGAGCTGGGAGCATTAAGGAATTTCAAATCTTAGACGGAAATAAATGAATATAGGTCCAATCATGCTCATTGTCGATGTTTAGCCTTCCGATGAGCAAACGGTTCCAAACACATTCGTACGTCCCAATTTCCTTTTCATTTTATTCCCTTTCTCAGACACTTATCCAACTTATCTTGAATGCTGACATAGTTTCTGCCTCAAGAATTAACGTTGGAAGTGAATTCTACTCCTTACGCATGCCTGTAAAGGTGTCTCATGTATATTATTCCAAATAGCTCATACTAATCTTGCATTCATGGTTCCTTGGGCCTGAGCATGCTACCTTGTCTCTTTGTTTAACATAATGAAACAATCACCATATAATATTGAAAAAAAAATGAACTTTTCTGAGTCTTTAGTTGAACTTGTATTTTCTGAGGAAGGGTCACCAGACCCGAAACGTTAACTCTGTTTTTTTTCTTCACAGATACTGCCAGACCTGCGGAGGTTTTCCAGCAACTTTGTTTTTGTTGTATTTTCTGAAAGTGGACAGCATCCTAGTTCTAACAGGTCTCTTGTATATAGGTTCAGTATTAATTCTTGGCTTTTAAATTCTACACTTAAATGATAAAACCTAGGCTTCCATGTGCAGCCTTTTCAACCCGAGCTGCTGCTTTTACTGGCCTGTGAAATTGCACCTCAAAATTGCTTTGTTTAACTACCATACAAAGCTTACTTCCATTCAGGGTACAATTAATTTTTTTTTTAAAAAAATGCATCATCTCATATTTACTTACATTGTCACTTTTTAAACAAACAATTCTGCCCTCTTATCAAGTCCATTGCAGATTTTTTTGATCTGCTACAGAAGTAGTTAGACCTCAAATTTCGGTCTTTTCTGAAAATTTTAATATCATTCTTTCTAGGCCCATCTGGGCACAGAACCAAACCATGTGAACCCACTTTCAGCCATTCTGAAAATCTCCTTTTACTTCATTGTTTCCCACTTTTTGAAATCATTTCTAACCAATTTGCTCAATTCTTGCCAATTCCATAGACCTGAATGTTCTCTAATAAACTCATAGATGGTGGTACCTTGTAAGCTGCACTGAATGTATTTCCCAAAACATTCTGTGATAACCTTAAGCAATTTAGGATGTTTTACTTTAGTCGTTTTGTGCTAGCAGTTTCTAATTACTATTTCTTTACCTGTATGCAGTCATTTAATCCTTAGTTCCAGATTCCAGTAGAGCTCCCTTGTCTTATATTTTAAGATGATTGGCTTTTAAATACTTTTAAGAAGCTACTACACTGCCCAATTTCCAATTTCCATGAACTCAGCAGAGCTATGGAGCGTAATTTCTAGACTTTGCAATTTCCTCCTTTATCTTTCTCAGAATACAACATGTAGGACCTTGCCACTTTGTCTATTTTTAGATTAAACAGTTTCCTAAATATTTTCCTTTCATCCATCACAAGAATGCTGATCTTTTTCAACCTTCTCTTTAATATCCTTTGCTTTAATAAAGGCTAACCCAAAATGCTATATTTTAATCTTCTACAAATGGACAGTTCTATTCTCTCTGTAGGTTCTAACTTACTTTCTTTGCAATCCCTTGACTTCCAGCAGTAATAGGGCAGTCAAGCACCAGAGACTGTTCAGAAGTGCTTCACTGTTTTTATGATGGTTTTGAACTTGTTCCCTCTCACTCTCTCTTAGCTTTCCTGATCATATTTTTAAAAAATTCCTATTTAACTATTTTTCATTATCTTTGTAATCCTTGTTCATCCTTTTCCACTATAATTCGTTTCTAGCCTTTATCATAAAATCATAGAATCCCTAGAGTTTGGAAACAGGCCCTTCAGCCCAACAAGTCCACACTGGCACCCGGAGCACCCCACCCAGGCCCATCCCCCTGTAACCCACCCAATCTACAAATCCCTGAACATTACCGCCAATTCAGCATGGCCAATCCATCTAACCTGCACATCTTTGGACTGTGGGAGGAAACCGGAGCACCCGGAGGAAACCCACGCAGACACAGGGAGAATGTGCAGACTCCACACAGACAGTCGCCCGAGGCTGGAATCGAACCCAGATCCCTGGTGCTGTGAGGCAGCAGTGCTAACCACTGAGCCACCGTGCCGCCCTTTCTATATTTCCATGACATCTTAGAATCATAGATTTAGATTGCATGCAAAGATCTAACCTACTGAATAATTGGTGCAGAGCACCAAACAGGGTTCTATAATATGTCAAAGTCCATTGCTTTGCCATAATTCAAACTGTTAGAGCTTGGCATTATAAAATAATGATTACGAATATCTATATCTATAAAACTTGCTTATCTCATTCAATCAGTGTTAATAATAGAAGTAACAATCTTAGTACTGACCGGGGGTGGCACACTGCACACAGGATAATGCTGCCCACTAAATACAACTGAGCATCCTGGAACTTGTTGCGTGTTACACGCTGGGATGTGCTGTCCTGTGCAAAGTGGGATCCCATGTGGTGCTACAGTAGTAACAGTATATGAGACAGGAACCGTGCCCTGATGAATCTGTACAAAAACACAAATACAGAAACGGTTAGCATTCAGAGGCTGGAAAAAAAAAGTTAGAGTTCAATACTCTTGGCTGAAAAATGTTTCCTCCATAAATTTGGCCAAAAATATGCTATTTCAAAGGTGAGTTGTACAGAAATCCATAAAATCCATAATTAAAAGGTTTTGTCCTTACAAGTGTGCTTAGTATATTTCTCAAAGGCATCACACCTGAAATTATACATACCAAGGCGTCATACAAATCATAGACTTAAGAAATGACATGTTGGCTGAAATAACAATTTAACAAAAAAACTGGCTGTGTTAATTGTGAGCAAACTAAATGCACCAAAAATCAGAGAAAAATCAGTAACCAGGAGAAAAGTATTGAGAAAGCATTTAGAAATGTTTAAGCAGCTGTGTGGTTACAGGCTAACGACTGGATGAGGCGGCTCTTGATCAAGCTGGTATAGTTTCATGAACTAGACAATACAAGAAAACTACCTTCAGCTGTCACTTTCTACCTTACAGCATACGGAGTCAGGAAGGAAATAATATTTTCTATGTGAATTTCTAAGCAGAAGCACCAAAAAACTTGTCCATAATATTGCATTTTACAGCACAGAAGTTGCACATTGGTTGATCATGTGTGTAATCTCGAAAACAATTATCCATCTTTTTTTTAAAAATTCATTCAGATGAATGTGGGCTTTGCTGGCTTGTCCAGCATTTACTGCCAATCCCTAGCTGCCCTCAAGAAGGTGGTGATGAGCCAGTAATTTTGAAAATCAAAATTTCTAAACCAGCACAGGAAGTCAGAAATTCGAGGCACAGGGAGGGGGCTGATTTGAAAGTAAGGGTGAGGAATTTCTACATTCTTTTAATCTCCAGTTTCTACTTACTAGTACAAGAGCAATGATAAATTAAGTAATTTCGAAGTAAAATCTTTAAGTACGGCAATGAAGCTTGGCCAGGCAGAATACCCAATGCGGGAGTCATAGACACTTCTCATGACCAAGATGAGCCCAAGTGCAAGAAGTGTCACTGCTTACACAAACTTCTGCTCCAGCATCTGTGAGGCAGAGAACTACTCAGATATCATGTTGAGAGAGCTGGTCTCACCACATTTGGGGGCAAGCTTGCAGATAGGGGATTGGTGATAGAAATAGGCAGGTGGTGCATGAGTCCCCAGAGATCTGCTGATTAACCACTTTTCCTTTCTGGGTATTAGTAAGGTTGATGGATCCTTGGAGGAGTGTATTAACAGTGAATCCTATGGCATCAAATGTTGTCTAACTATACCAAAGGGAGATAGGACAGCGGAAGGCCAGTACTGATACAGGATTCTTTAATTAGGGGACAGATAGGCATATCAGTGACTTTGATGTGATTCTAAGACAGTATGCTGTTGCCTTGATACTAGAATCAAAGATGTCACATAATGGTTACAGGGTACCCTCTGGGATACGGCAAACAGTATTAGGTCATGGTCCACATAAGTACTAATAACACACTTAGGAAAGTGTATGTAGTACTGTAATCAAATTTAAGGATGTGAAGTAGAACATTAGCAAGCAGACCTCTAAAGCAATCATCTTCGGATATCTGCCAATTCTATAAACAAGTGAGTACAGAAACAGGAAGATATGAGGTGTTGCACACATTAATTACGACTGAATGTTGACTTACAGGCTTTTTTAAAGTTTTAAACCAAGCAATTGACTCTTATTCATGATAATACGGCGAGAAATGCACGAGTGAATGGCTGTCAGCTATACTGTTCAGTTGAAACACGCACAATTTATGCATGCTTTCTTTCTGTTCACAAGGAACAGGGCTCTCTGTAATAAAATATAAACCTTTCAGTACATGCCAAGTGCAACACATCGTGACCTTGACTGACAATATAAATATTGTCAGACGGGCAGGAAAATTGTTGGTTGCCCTCTTAAATTGAGCACACTTGCAAATTGTCCTAATGAGAGCAAGATGAAAAAACAAATTTTGTCAAAGCTTGAGCAATATTTAAGTTCTGTACGATTAAATGATTACTCTGAAAGTTCACTTCCAAAACAGCTATCAATGCAAGGCTGAAACCACCAAAAGGGAATTCAATGATTTTTTTTTCCTCACTAAAGAACATAAACACCTTTACTTTTACCTTCTCCCAAACCATGGATCAATATAATCTTCTTGACAGCTATAATTAAAATAGTCCTAATATTTTGAGAATCTCCACTTTTGAAGATTTGCAAAGCCAAGTTAGAAGTTCATCACCAAAAATACGTATTACTGTGACTTTATAGTTGAGCCATCTGGATAATTTTACTTTATTATATCTGGCTATTTAACATGGCTGGTTAAAAGTCTATGCAGTATGTCTGGGTTTATTTCTCAGAGACGCTAAATAATCTAGTTCAGAAATTCCCTGCGACATTCAGATGCGAGTTTCAAACTGACCACTGGATACCAAGTTAAATGACATGAGTTAAGAGTGGTTCAAATTAGTCCCTCATCAGAATAGATCACAGGAAGTAGAAACAGTTTTCTGAAGTCAAAGTTCAAAATAACTGTTGCAGCAGTCCAAGCTTGTCCATGCTTTTCCTGATCTAGAATTGTTTAATGATAACTGATAAATAGTGGATGCTTGATCTCCTAGTGCTAACATTCTTTACCTTGATGAGAACAAAATACGCCAAAAAATTGAAAAAAAAAGGAAAGAATCGAAGATTCCAATAAAATTCCAAGATGATGCTGTGTGCTCAATGAGCATCTAATCTCCAAAATTACCCCAAATATATATAGTGTTCAAAAGAACATAAGACATAGGAGCTGTAGTAGGCCATTCAGACTCTCAAGCCACCCTCACCATCCAATAAGGCCATGGTTGATCTAGCCAAGACTCAACTCGACTTTTATGCCAGCTCCTTATTGCCCTCAACGCCCTGAAATTTGAAAAATCTGTCAAAGGTTGCATCACATATAGATAGTGTGGTTAAAAAGGTGTTTGGCACACTTGCTTTCATTCTCAGTCCTTCAAATATGGGAGTTGGGATTCATGTTGAGGTTGTACAGGACTTTAGTGAGGCCTCATCTGGAATACTGTGTCCAGCTCTGGTCACCCAGTTATAGGAACAATATTATTAAGCTGGAGAGGGTTCAGAAGAGATTTACCAGGATATTGCTGGGAATGGAAGGTTTCAGTTATAAAGAAAGACTGGATAGGCTGGGATTATTTTCCACTAGAGCGTAGGAGGTTGAGAGGCGACCTGATAGAAGTTTATAAAATAATGAGGGGTATAGATAAAGTTAATGGTAGCTGTCTTTTCCCTAGAATGGGGGATTTCAAGATTAGGGAACACATTTTTGAGGTGAAAGGAGACAGATTTTAAGACGACAATGGGCAATTTTGTTTTAAAACACAGAGGGTGGCTCACATGTGGAATGAACTTCCTGAGGAAGTGGCGGATGCAGGTACAATTACAACGTTTAAAAGACATTTGGATAAGTACATGAATAGGAAAGCTTTGGAAAAATATCGGCCAAGAGCAAGCAGGTGAGACTAGTTTGGTTTGGGATTAATGTTTGGAAAGGACTGGTTGGACTGAAGGGTCTGTTTCAGTGCTGTATGATTCTATGACTCCTCTTTAAATTATTTCAGAGATCTAGCCTCCACAAAACTCCATCTGTTAGATTCACTGACTAGGCAAAAACCCATTTCTATCCCCTCGCAGATTCCTTGCATCCTCATCACAACATGCCCTCATCTACTTTTGTATCATCAGCATCTTTAGATACATTACACTCAGATCCCTTCTCCATACCATTAATATGGATAATAAATAACTGAGGTCAGAGGTTTCATCCTTGTGATGGTTCACTAGTTCGTTCAGTCTTTCCAATCTGTGAACAAGCTACTTATCCTTACTTGCTGCCTTCTATGTGTTAGCCAATCCACAATCCATGCTAATACATTACCTCCGATACCGCGAGCTCTTTTCTTGTGCAATAACCTTTTATATGGTACCTTAGTGAATGCCTTCTGAAAATCCAGAGGAGGTAACAAGTTGGATAGATAAAGGAGAAGCACTGTAAGTGATATGTCTGGATTTTCATAACGTGTTTGATAAAGTGTCAGACATTCGGCTACCCAAAAGAACCCATGGTGTTGGAAGTAGTATATTAGCAGGGATAGAGGAGTGGCCAACTAATAGAAGATAGGAAGTTGGGATAAGGGGGGGCATTTTCAGGATTTCAACTTCTAAACTATTGGTGTGCCAAAGGGATCAGTGCTGGGACCACAATTATTTACAATATATATCAATGACTTGGATGAGGAAAGTGAATGTGCTATAGCGAAGTGTTTGGATGACACAAAAATAAATGGGAAGGCAATGGTGAGGACGACGAGTGTTTGCAAAGGGCTATAGACAGGTTAAGTGAATAGGCAAAATCTTGACAGATAGAACATAGAGAGAAAAGGTGGGGTCATGCATCTTGGCAGGTAGAATAGACGAGTTTAATGTTATGTAAAAGGAGAAAAACTGCAGAAAGCTACAGAACAGAGGATTTGTCGGTCCTCATTCATGAATCACAAAATGCTTGCATCCAAATTCATTAGGGAATAGGGAAGGCAAATGGAACGCTGGCCTCTATTTCAAAAGGGAATACAGCAGAAAAATAGGGACGTCTTGCTAAAATGATACAAAGCACTAGTCAGACCACACCTGGAATACCATGAACAAGATTGCACACAGTCTAAAGAAGGCTCCCCAGGCTGATACCAGGTTGAGAGGCACTGTCTTATAAAGAATAGGTTGAGTAGGCTGGCCTTGTACTCATTATGACTTAAAAAAATAAGAGGTAACTTTAGTGAAACATAAAGGATTCTCAGGGGACTTGACAGGTTTGATGTGGAAAGGTCAGTTCCACTTCTAGGAGGGTCTACGACCAAAGGACATTCTCAGAATAAGGGATCAGACATTTAAGGTTGAGATGAGGAGGAACTTCTTCTCTCAGAGATAAGTGAATCTCTACCATAGAGGGCTGCTGATGCTGGA